CCAGGATTTCTCTGTGTAGCTTTTGGAGCTTATCCTGGAACTCTCTCTGTAGACCAGGCTGGCCTCAAACTCACAGAGATCCACTTGCCTCTGCTGGGATTAAAGGTATGCACTACCACCACCCTGTGAGAGTTCTCTTTTTCCACATTCCCACCAACTTTTATTTTTTGTTGATTTGATTAATAGTCATTCTTACTGGAACTAAATTCATTGTAGTTTTGACCTGAGGAATTTCTCTTATTTTTTCCTCCTAGTAACTTTACTGTAGCTGGGGTTATCTCCTGGTCCTGCCTGGCCCACGGTCAGGACAAATCTCTCTCACCTGCAGTTGCTCGGACCCAAATAAACACACAGATGCTTATATTATTTATAAACTGTATGCCTGTGTGGCTCAGGCTTCTTGCTATCTAGTTCTTATCTCTTAAATTAACCCATTTTGATAAATCTATACCTTGCCACGTGGATTGTGGCTTACCGGTACTTTACATCCTGCTCCTCATGGCGGTGGCTAGCAGCGACTCCTGACTCAGCCTTCCACTTCCCAGAATTCTCCTCTCTCCTTGTCCTGCCCATAGTTCTTGCCTGGCTACTGGCCAATCAGCACTTTATTTATCAATCAGTCATCCACAGCAGTTATGTTGCTAGAATAATAGCTGAAGACTAGGTAGAAATATAAGAAGAATGCACCACCATTTGAGAACAGACAAAGGCTACTGCACAGACTAGAGAGCCAGTGCAGACACTTCTGGGACCTGTATAAAAACATTATATTGGTTTTACAATTCATTTTTCTGAAGTAAATAAATTTTTCATATTCTAATTTAGTTATTTACACTGCCCTAAACATAGCTATTAACAAATACAGATCTAGTACCTTTTCTCCCCTGCTAAAATAGCCTTTAAGTCTTTAATCCTGTCAGGTTGATTGACTACCTCCTGACTATTCAGTCAGAGCTGAAGGTCCTTAGTGATCTAGCCTCAGTTCACTTCTAATAGCCATGGCACCCTCCACACTATCGGGGCTCCTTGTGGTTTGGGAATATGGCATACAAATTTGTGCTTCTTTATCTTTGCCCATACTGTTTCTCAGATGTCACACTTACTAGATGCATCGTCAAACCCTGTAGTTCCAGCTATTCAGAACCCTGAGGGAAGATTGTCTAAGCCAAGGACTTGGAGACCAGCCTGGGCAACACAATGAGATCCACACAAGACAGACTAACAAAGATCTGCCACTCACCCCCCATCCAGCACTTGTTTTCTACACCCATCACGACACTCCATCCTTCAGGGTCCAAGTCAAATCATTTTTCTGCAAGTCTTTCTCTCTTAAGTTTAAATCACTGTGTAGTTTTTTTCCCTCCTGAAATAGTTAGGATCTTCTCTAAAAGAGATGATGTTTCCATTCTCCATGTATTCCAGGTAATTGTACATGGGAAATAAACTGAAAGCATCTTAGAACAAACTGAGTCATAGGCAATCATGTTGTGGCTAATTGTATATACATCTAAGATTCTTTCCTACAGTGAGAACTTCCTGATTTATGTTTTCTCATATTTGAACTATATCTTATATACTCTAGAAAGTTATCACAGTGCCTGGCATTAAATGTTTGTCAAATATACTTCGAATAAAAAGGCACAATGATGCTTACATCTTCATGTAAAGGAAGAAATTCTCAGTATAAGAGAGGCTGGATGGAACCTGAAAAGCATAACGATCTGTAAAAGGTGAAAACTCTATCTCTTAAGTGGTAGGTGGTAATCTGTCCTGACAACAGAGAATACTATTCAAGGAAAATGATATCAATTGTTTAACGACTCATATTAGAGCAATTCTCCATCTAACACACTCAGAAAATGTGAAGCAGCCTTTATTCTGAGTGTAGATGCTTTAGATAGAAGAACGATGATCCATTTGAGTGGGTAAATCCCTGTGTGGAGCAGGAGTCCTCCTCCTGCAGACACTGATGGGGAAGACAGGCATACAAGAGCTTGTCTCTTTCTTCTTGGTGGATTTCGAGCATAGAGAAATGTGAATGTCCTTGTTGGAGAGCCTGTTCTTAGGAAAGTAGAAGCTGAGATATAAGGGGGACAAGAAATCAGAGACAGATGTGCTCCTTATTGCTTTCTGGGGAGATGACTACACCAAGGGACTGGCCTGGCTTTGATGAAGTTCTTCCTGGACCTACTCATAAAGACTGAATAACTCAGTCTTTGTAGGAACTGTTGTTAGACTGTACGTTTGTGTGGATGCATGTGTGTGCACATGATGATGCCAGAGGACAACCTCAGGCATCATCCTTGGGAACTTCGTCCACTTCCTTTGAGACAGGGCCTCTCATTAGCCTGGAACTCATCAATTAGTCTAGACCAGCTGGCTGTTGAACCCCGGGGATCCTTCTGTCTCTACCTTGTCAGTTCTGGGATTACAAGCATGTGTCACTTTCAACTTGCTTCCTGCCTTCGTGAGCGACTACCATCAGTTAAACTATTATTTTAGAAAGTGTTGTCTTGCACTGTGAGTGCTGGCACATTCTTGTAATGCTGAGCTATCTCCCCAGTCTTTAAACTATTTTTTTTTATTTTCTTTTGTATTTTATTACATTTTCATTGAGTGGGGCAAATGCCATAGCATGGGTGTGGATGTCAGAGGAAAGAAAGGAAAGGAAAGAAGAAGAGAGAAAGAAAAAGAAAAGGCAACCCTCCTTCCTGCCAAAACCTAGGGCAAAGATGTATTGGTTGGAGAGAGAGACCAGCAGGGTATGGTGATGGGGCGGGGTGTGGGGTGGGCATCTGAAATAAAGGCATCCAGGTATTTCAGGCATATCTGGGAGGTGGTACCTCTCCTGGTGTCAACTTGATGAAATCTAGAATCACCTGACAGGAATGTCTCAAAGAGGAATTGGCTAGGTTCTGCTTGACTGTGGTACATCTGTGAGGATTGTCTTGATTACATTAATAGAAGTGGGAAGGCCTGCACATCTGTGAGAGGTACAAGGTAAATTCCTTGAGTTTGGGTCTTGGACTGTATAGAAATGGAGAAGGTGAGCTGAGTACAAGCATGTATGCATTTATTCCCCCTCAGCTTGACTGTGGCTGTGAATGGCTGCTTCCAAGTTCTGATGATTTGAGTCACAACGATGGACTGTAACCTAGAATTAAAATTAAACCCTTTCCCCCTACATTGCTTTTGTCAGGAAACAGGAAACGAAACTAGGACACCTGGGGACCACTTTACAATGGAGAAGGGAGCCAGCATACTGATAACTTGGAAGGTGGGGTTCACAACCATTGTAATTTGCAATTTTGTTTTAAATATAGCTTCCTTATACTTCAAGACATGAAAGCAGGACATTGTGGTTCTCAAAGGCACAAGAAGCTTTGTGTTTTGTTTTTTTTTTTGAAACAGGGTTTTAGCATAGGATGGCCTAAAATCCACTTTGTAGCAGAAAGGTGACCTTGAACTTTCTGATCCTTTTGCCTCTACCTTCTGAGTGCCGGGATCATAGCTGTACACCAAAACACCCTATTCTATGTGCTTCTGGAATAAGACCCAGAGTTTTTGTACAAGCCAAGCAGGCCCTTGACCAGCTGAACTATTTCCTCAGCCCCACATGCAGCCTTTTAGTGAACTAACCTTCTCCGTACTGGGCTCAACAAATGAGAAAAAAAAAACAGCAAAGTATTTTTTGTTCACCTTTATTGGAACCCCATCTTTCCAGTTTCCCATGAACTTCTGCCCATGATCTTGTTTTCGAGGCATATACTAGATTCTTTTTATTTTTTTTATTTATTTTTGTTTTCCACCCTCTGTTCTGTATCAGAGAGGAGAGGACAGTTTGCATATGTATCTTATGCACAAACATGGGTGAATCTTGAACTGGGGAGCTTCCAGGCAGATGTGACTTTCTTAGACTAAGCAGAGATGCTACTTAAAACGCTGGCACAGCAGCCACCATCTCACCCTTCTCGATTGCATCTATGGTCCCACTTTGAAGACAGCATTCAGTTCTTTGCAGCTTTTCTGGATTCATGGGGCTTTTCTTTTTATTCTAACAGCTGCTTGTTTGCATAACCTGTTAAAGACACGTCCCCATCATCACACTAATGGGTTTCCTCTAGTTCCTTCTTGGACATTTTCCCTTCCTTGTTTAGATTTTTATAACAAATAGCTACTTTTGCCTTCTACAAAAGTGCTTCCTGCTTGAAAATTTCCATTCTTTCCCAGTTATATAACAAGGCTGGACTTAATAGACTATCCTTTTTAACATAGTAGTGATTATACTTGTCTACAAGACCTTCCTGAAGTTCCTAGTTTCTTTATGGATCTCCCTTGGAGTTGTAGATATAGTAGACTGCCTGTTAATTCCATTTTTCAGTTCATCGTTTATAGAATGTCTACATCTGTATTCTAGGCCCCAAGTTACTTCCCAGGTTATAAAGTAGACCGCATTTGAATCTTTGGTTTCGTTTTGTAACTATGTCAGGATTACATTGAAAAGAGGAACCTCTTCCCATGCCTATTAAATGCAGCAAGGGAGCAGTCCACGTTACTAAGGTGATGGGGGTGGGGGTTATTGGAATCTAAAGACACTGGTGAAGCATGCTGTAAAGGTCAAGAGCCAGCTAGGTGCCACATGCCTCTAATCCAAACACTGGAGAACTTGAAGGGGGGTCCATTTGGAGGACATCTGAGCTACATAGTGAAACTTGTCTTAAAAACGCAAAGGTTGGGGATGTAGCTCAATATTAGAGCTACCCCAAGCCCTTAACTAGCAAATGCAAGGTTCTGGATTTGATCCCCAAGTCCAGGCAAGTAAGTAGACAAGTAAGTTGATTAAATTAAAATCAAAATAGGTCAATTTTTTTCTAGTCTGGTATAGGGGTTTTAATATTGTGTTTTGAAGATATCAGAAGAGCATACAGGTAATAGGAAATTATTAATAATTCATTATTTTAAACGGATATATTTCTCATAGCACTAACGTTCTGCATTGACATTGTTTCAGAGCTGGATCTTGTCACCCGCTAGGCCAGTGTTCTACCACTGAATTACATCTCTATTCTAGCTTGATTCCTTTATGACATTTCCTTCCATTGAAATCTTTGAGGGTGGAGCTAGTGAGATGGTTCAGTGGGTAAAGGTGCTTGCCAGGCTAGTCTGGCGACACGAGCTTAACCACTGCAAACCACATAAAAGTGGAAGGAGAGAACTGATTCAACAAAGTTGTTCTCTGACCTCCACACTTGTGCGTGGCCCCTGGGTGTTCATATTCCCCGCACGCGCACATGCTAATATTACTAATCATAAAATCTTTGAGGGTGAATATGTCTCTGAGTGAAGTTCTGGGAAGGAACTTTAAGTCTGCAGATGTGGAGAACACAAAGGAGAGAAAGCATCTCCCCCGTTTCTTTGTGTGCTGTACAGCTCCTGACCTATTGTGTTTTGCTGAGGAAGTCTGAAGATGCAGTAAATCTTTCTGAAAGTGCAAGGAAGGGTCCATCACTTCCTGTTCCTAGCCCAGCGATGGAGCACACCTCAGGCTCCTTTTGTCTTCTGATAATAAAAGGAGGGCTAGAGCGCAGGGATTTCTAGGCGCTAAATCCGGGCGCTTACAAGCTTCTGTGGTCGCAGCGGTGGAAGTAGCTATTGTAAGACAGATGTTCACCAAATTAAGGGTGCGGGAGAACAGGGGCCCATGGAGCAGACTTAGGGTAGCGCACAGGTGGGGGCAGCCGCCTGGTCTGGAGTCGTGGGCGCCTGTTTTCTGCAGGTGCTGCCTCCTCGCCTTGGTTTCCAAGAGGGCAGGAACCTCGCGTTGCAGGGTGCAGGACTTGACTCCTGAAACAGTTCAAATGTTATTCCAGGTAGCAGACACCGATCTTGTCAAGTGTCCACACATGGCCCAGCCGAGGCAAACAGCATTCATACCAACCACCGCCCGCGAAGGGAGCGAACGAGGGCTTGGGACGCTAGAGGGCTGGTCCGACTGGGTTCGGTACTGCTGTTTTGCGATGATTGCTTCCTCAGCCCGCTCATCATCCCTATTCCCTATCGTGATTGGCTCTTCCTCCTGCCAATCGGTTCCGCCGCGCTGACCTCCATTGGCCCCCTACCTAGGCCCCGCCCCATGAGCTGGGCACGGGCACTGGGGCGCCCGGGAGAGAACCCAGCTTGCTTGGGGCTTGGGGGGGAGGCGGTGGTGGCTCTGGAGAAGGAAGAAGAGTGGGGCGGGAGGAGGCAGCGGCGGCGATCCGGCCAGGGTGATGGTACAGGTGCCAGGGCCCGGCGCGGAGCTGCCGCGCTGAAGGGCGACGGGTCCGGAGTCCGCAGCGCCGCCGCGTCGCTCCCGGGGACGGGCGAGCGGGCGGGAAGATGCTGAGCAGGTTGATGAGCGGCAGCAGCAGGAGTCTGGAGCGCGAGTACAGCTGCACCGTGCGGCTGCTGGACGACAGCGAGTACACCTGCACCATCCAGGTCAGCGCCGCGCCGCCCGCCCGCCCGCTCGCGGGGTCCCGCTCCCTAGACTCGGCCAAGTTGGCGGGGGGCCGCCGCCCGGGGTCGCCCCAGCTCTAGCCCCGGCGCAGCGCTTTGTCCGCCCCGCAGCCGCACCGCCCGACGCGCGGCATCCCTGCCCGAGCTCAGCCGGGGGCTGGTACCACGCGCCGCGCGCCCCTGCGGGGTGAGTCGCGTCCCGCACCCGCAACTCCTCTGCTCTGCGCCCTCCCGGGCGGAGGACCCCGGGTCTTGGCTCCTCCAGCCGGCGGATAGGTAGCACCTTTGGGCGGGCGTCCGGAGCTAGGCGGGCAGGGCAGGAGACGCCTGCCTGGGTCGCCCCGTCGGGACGCGGGCTGAGGTTCCCCCCGGCCCCGCCAGGCCCGCCAGCCAGCCTTTATCTCCCTGGTTGGAAGGATAAAGGTTTATGTCATAATTTCTCTCGAGCGTTTGTGAGTCAGACGGAACGCGCAGCCCATGCAGAGTGGCCTATTGAAGGCGACCAGCCCTCTGTGCTTTGAGGGGTTAGCTCCCTTCCTCGTCTTTTGATCCCCAAATCTCAACGTGTTGGTTATTTTTGGGGTTGGGGGGCGTGAGGCAAAGATTTAGCAACAAGTCCCAGAGATTTGGAGATTGGCAGTGGCTGGAAAGAATCGGAGACTTATAGAAAAGCCAACAATGCAATAATGCCGCACAGCATTTCTTTCAGATCCTGGCGTTTTGAAAGGATTTTTTTTACAACCCCTGGCTTGTGTCCCTTCACTACTGCTGTGTGGCGCGTCAGGAGTCATATAGTGTTTTCCCCAGGAATGCAGTCTCTCCTTTATAAAGTCAGAGATTGAAAGCACCGATAATGCTCTCGTGTTTAATTCTTCTACCAGAGGACCGACCCTGCGCTCCCTGCCAGAAACTGCTCTTTGTGGAGAAGCAAATTGAGTTAGACCCGGGAGGGTCTCACCTGATCCCTTTCCTTTCCCGCAAGAATCTGGAGGAGGCTTCTAGGCTCAGATGTGACAAAAACTGCCTTAGACCTTACCCGCAGGATGCCCCCATCCATCCATCCATCCATCCATCCATCCATCCATCCATCCATCCATCCATCCATCCATCCATCCATCCATCCATCCATCTTGCCGACAATGCTCAATAGCATAAAATAGAGACGTGTGAGAAAGACGCTCCAGTGTCTGCTTAATGCTGACTGTGCTTAGTTCAGCCTGCCCCCTTCCAAGGACTCCCCCTCCCCAAGCCCTGAGCTTAAGTGCTGACTGCTGCCAAAGATCCAGGAGAGCAGAGACAGAGCACAGACTATCTTTTGAAGGCTACTTAATACAGATTAAACGCCCATAAAGATGCTAGCCATTAAGTGAAAGGGTTTTTGTAATTGGCTATGACGGAGAGATGGTATGTATTATTTCCCTACTCGATGGCGTGCTACTTTTTGTTTCTATGGTGTCATTGTTTCTATGTACAGTTTTCTCCCTGTTTTGTTTTAATGGAGGAGGAGAAAACATGGAATTGACACCTTCGCAGTTTGAGTACACTGTCAAGAGCTTTTAAAGTCTTTTCGTTTAAAAATTTAACAAATGTGTACAATAGCCTGCCGAGGGCAGTGTGAGGTTTAGACTTCATAAACCTTAAGAATACTTCTGTGGTATATAGTGACATAAAATTTCTCCAGGAGATCATTAACTCTTGCCAACGTGTAGAGATTTAAGGAAACATCACTCCTTGAAAAATGTTTATAATCTTCTGGTTTCAGGTATCAGGAAAGGCAACTTTTGATTCTCCCTTGTCCTCAGAGCCGGTGAGGTTGATTAATATTGTAATTGTGGATGGTTCTTATTGTCACTGAGAAAACATATTTTAAAGTTAAATTGGACTTATTGGAGTAATGTTTACTGTGTTCTACTGTTCGTGTTCATTTTTTGTTGCTCTTATTTTTATAATTTAACGTTATAAAAATTAGTCATGGCCCCTGTACACAGACTAGATGTGTTAATCATTGTACGTGGTGATTCTGGTGCCAACTCTAAAACAGAGGAATTGTAGCATATTTGCCATTTTTTACACCACTATTTAGATAGTATTTTGCCTTTATTTTTATCCATATGAGAAAAGGTTTGAAAAAAAGACAATTATCCACAGGACTCTAATATTTTTCTATATGCAGCTTTTTAAACAAAGCATTTAACTTTTCTTAGCAACTTTCCCATTTTATATTTCTACTGTGTGTGTGTATGTGTGCGTGTGTCTGTAATGTGTGTATGTGTGTGTCCACATGTGCTTACTTGTTAAGTACTCGGTGCAGTTTTAACATGGGAAAGAGGGATGGGCTTCTTATTTAGCTAAGCATTATTTTCAATACTTTAAGAATAGCAATACTGTATATTTTAAATCTTTTGTCGATGGTTTGGACTCCTTTCTTCTTGAAGTGTTATACTTTCATTTAGATATGGTGTCTATTTTAGAAATATTTTTATGGCTTTTAAAATAGCCAGAGACCATGTAGGGCAATACAGAATTAGAAATATACCAGTGGGTTGGTGTCATGAAAACCATGTTTGGTAAATTCCAGTTGTACAGCAATTCTGTCAAGGTATTGCTTTAGCGGCATTTCATAATGCAGTTCTAGTGAGCTGGCCTTCAGGATGTGATTATTAAGGTAACCAGAATGTCTTCTATCTTTTCGAAGAAGGTTCTCCCAGGCACAGGCCTACTCTTTCATCCTTTCTGATATGGAAATGCATCTGTAGACCAGGAGAAATGAAAGTATACATAGGAGGATTGTAGGATAATTGCTCCCCTGTGAAGAACATTGTTAATAGCCAGTTTTGAAGGTCATTGCCTCAGACATTCAGATCTGATCCACATTTTTGACTCTTCTGTTTTTAATTTTTGCAAATCTGTATTTATTTTCCCCATTTACTACCTGACTTTTTATTTGGGAGGAAATAGAAAAAAATGAAATATTAAAATACTAGCTAGTATCGCTGAAGTCAACCTGAATGGAATAATTTAAATGTCTAGACATGCTTTGTCCTAAGGAACACACTTTTAATAGTTTATGTATTATTCAGGACATAGTGCAGACGTTTGAGAGCAATAGCTATTGGACAAATCAGTATTTTCAAAAGAGGCATTATAATATTTGGGGGGTGATAACTGAAAGATGAAACCACCTTAGAAATGAGTTAGATTTTATTTGGGACACATGAAAACCACAGATGAAGCAGCCAGGTTAAGCAGATTTTTCAGTTATAAACAAGCTGTGTGTGCAGAGGCAGTTCTGTAGGGGGGCCAATGCTTGGATTTGATTGTGGCTCAACTACCTAGTCATTTTGAGACCTAGAGTGAGGGAGGGAGGGAGGGGGGAGCACATGAGTGGGGTTCTGGGCTTGCCAGGGATCTCTGCGTTCATTGTACCTCATTTCCCTCACAATGGCATTATGGACTGATTATATATCCATTGTACTAAATGAGGAAAATGGGATGGTGGATTGGTGGGTGGGCCCTGTGCTGAATGGCTGATTACATCCTAAGCATTCTGTTAGACACTTGGTTTGTGCCTTACAGGAAAGAGATGGGTAGTATTGTTTTGATTTTATAGATGAAAAGGCAGGTCCCAGAGGTCAAAGGAATTTATTTATTGTTAGTAAGTGACCTTACTGTATTTAAACCAATGTCTTTCTAATTCTTAATCTTATTCACTCTCTATTTTGACTCCCTAAATTGCTTTCTATTTTCCTACCTTAATTTTCTCATATATAGTGGAAATATTAATGCTTATTTCATAGCAAAAAGAAAATTAATTGGAAATATTACAAATAAACAAGGAACATTAAAACACAAAACAGAATTGAGAATTTTTTTTTTTTTTTTTTTTTTTTTGAGACAGGGTTTCTCTGTGTTGTTTTGGTGCCTGTCCTGGTGGCTCTGTAGACCAGGCTGGCCTTGAACTCACAGAAATCCATCTGGCTCTGCCTTCTGAGTGTTGGGATTAGAGGCGTGGGCCACCACTGCCTGGTGCATTGAGAAATTCTTACTTGAAAAAAAAAGAAAAATAAGTCAGGTTAAATCATAACTTGCCTTCAAATGATTTCTAGTTAGTCTCAATGAAGTTGTGAAATTCCATCCTGGGATAGTATAACTCATTAGACCTTTTCTTTAAAATTTAAGAACTTGGGCTGACGAGCTAGCTCATCAGCTTGCTGCCAAGGCTGATGACCCGAGTTTGATCCCAGGAGTCCCCACAGCAGAGGGACAGAACCAACTCCTACAAGCTGTTCTTTGACGCCCCAGCCCATAAATAAAAACCCCACGAGTTCCCATTTCTCTCCCTCTGTCTTACCTATGCCTTTGGCTTTAGGAGGATGCTTATTCTTGGACTATGGGTTGCCTTTTCCAAGAATTTCTGCTTCATATTTTATAAGTGGAGCCCTTGGTTTCATTAATG